AATCTTAGCATGAGTAGTTTTGGTAGAGGTGAGGGGAGAGAAGCACTGTTGGAGTTGTTACACTGAGTTGAGAAGGGAAGTTGAAGAGAGATGGTGAAAAAAGGGAAGTGTATGCTGGTGAGGGAATGGGAGCTCTGGGCTAGAGCTGATGAGTAGTCTTTCTAAAAAAGGAGCCCAGAGATGGCCGGGGCTGCTCACCCTGTGCACGGGGCACACATGAAATGATTGGCAATACAGGAGGCACCAGGCACAGACATGGGAACTTTGGTAGCACTTCATTATTGCAGACATGTCCAAGCATAGTAGCCCCATTCCAGTATTATAGAAAACCAGAAGGGGGCTGGGAAGGTGGCTCAGTGGTAGAGTGCTTGCCTTGCATGCATGAGGCCCTGGGTTTGATTCCTCAGCACCACATAAGCAGAAAGAAAAAAGCCGGAGGTGGTACTGTGGCTCAAGTGGTAGAGCGCTAGCCTTGAGCTGAAGAAATGAGGGTAGAGCACTAGCCTTGAACTGAAGAGCTGAGGGACAGCACACAGGCCCAGAGTTCAGGCCCCGACCGACCAAAAAAAAAAAAAACCAACAATGAAACAAGGTTTTTTTTTGTGTGTGTGAAAATACTGTACAGAGGGGTTACAATTACATGGGCAAGATAATGAGTACATTTCTTATCAAGCATTGTAGCCTCCTCCTTTGTTTCCCCTTCCCATCCTTCCCCTACCCTCCCACCCAACGTTCTTCCCCCCCCCCACCAAAGTTGTAAAGTTCATTTTCGACATAATGACTTGTACGTCTCATTGTTGTAATGGGTCTACCTGTATCCCTATTTAAACGATTTATTTTTTCCCCTTCCCCTCCACAAATTGTAACAACATCAAATACAGTTAAAGCAAGGGTTATACCATGGGGGAGGAACATACAAAGCAACAAAGAAGTAATCTTATAAATGTGTTAGAAACAATCGCATGAAAGAAAAAAAACAATTCAATACATATCTTAGGGTTTATTTCCCTAATATCAACTGACCTTTTCTGCTTGACTCAGACATATACTAGTTATTGCAAATAAGGAAAACCATGGGACCTATGTTTCTTTGGGCCTGGCTTACTTCACT